ACAATGGACAGTTACTTTTGTCCCCTATATTTCCGAGCAGAAATCTTCGCAAATAATTAGCTGAAAATTGACAGATTGATGATCTACCAATCATTCCTTTCTGCATAAAAATAGATAGTTTGCTCACTTTTTGGACTTAAGCCTATGGTCTGCACATTTACTTGTTAAGCAAATCCACAACTTCGCAAAAAGTACAAACACCGGCCCACACTAGTCGGCTAAATTGCGTGGACCCGTTTGACGCGCAGTTTTTGAAGGTTCCAATTATCGGATAGGCTTGTGCTCAAGCACTATTTACCTACATGCTGATAGGGTGCTATGACCAAAAATTTCAGCTTAAGACCTCAGCTACACACGCTCCATGAATTTCGTGGCAGACAGATATATATACACACAGGCAAACAGACAGACGCTTTGCGCTTTATAATGATAGAAGAACTCGTATTACAATCCACATGTTGTTTGTATGGAAACAGTTCGCTGCTTATGGCATTGTCTTCATCTTTGCGGTTCATTTTTGGTGCTTTAAATGCTATTCAAAAGGCCTTCAACGTTTTGCGGGCTACTGACTCGGATTCGTGCTACATCGTGACAGTGACTTGAAAGTACTGGTCCTCATGACATAGCCTTCGAACCAAAGGTGTTGAGATTCTAAATTTTTTAGGGTCGTCACGATGCTCATTTATTCTTGTGCACAGGAGTCTGCCGGTCTCTCCTATGCATTGGTCACCGCAATTTCGACATGTTATGAGATCTATCACTCCTAATTCCATGAAGTCGCCTGATTTTCCAGACAGGCATGTGGCGGCTCGGTGGGCTCTAAGCACCTAGATCTAATCCGAGTAACCAAGGCTCGCCCGCTTAGAATTTACGACGCGACCTACCCCATTAACTTGCCCTAGCGAGCGTCTAGATAAGGAATTAACTACTAAAAATTTATCCTTATTACATCAAAGAGATAATAAAAAGCTACATAAAAACTCACAACTAAACTACGAAGAAAACTATGAGAATAAAGGCTAAACTACTAAACGATAACAAGCTCAACACAGGACAAACTGCCCCATCCCGTGCTACCGATGAAGCGTGTCTAAAACTCTGATAATAAGAATGCTCCCGAGGCTTCACCTAAACAGATCCGCCGCGCGTCGCCGGCTACCAGGCGCGATAGCCTCCGCGCTCCCAAGTTCAAAAGATCCTAATATCTCAAGGCCCAAAAGTCTCAAAGGTGGCTCGTCCAAAAACAATCCCGAGATCTTGAATTTCAATCCACGATGGATTTCGATATGCTCAACCGCACTGCAAAAGTAACATCCAAAGCGGGAGCTAAATGCCAGGTAGTAGCATAATGAACAAAGATGGGAAAAGATAATCGATCGAAAATGAAGCAGACAGGCGCTGCAATGAGACGCCGTCATTTCATATAGCCGTTTTGCTGGCAACGCTCCAAGGCAAGGAGGGGTCCGGAGGCGATTGCGGCACGCGTGAGAAAGTACCGTAATCGTCGCCGGATAGCGCGGCAGCAACCAGTGCTCCCGGCCTCCTACTTCTAGGAGCGCCCGTATCGCTGAGCCGCGACAGGGCAGATGATACAATCAGCGGTCGTGCAGGCTCTGTCATACGCTCGATTACGACTAACAATAAGTTGTTTTTTAAAATCAGGAGGTGGAATATCTATAGCTCTGACGGAATCATCGAGGTCCGCTTGAAACAAACATTTTCTGATAGCTCTGCTAAAATCATCAGATACGAATGGAGCAGAGAACGGTATTTTTGTTGTCTTGTTCATTTCAATCGGTCTGCTTTCTTGTCTGCAGGTATGCCTTGGTGCACCTTTTGCGGCACAGCCGTTAGAATGCGCAGTCTGTTTTGGCAAGGTTCATGGAAGCATTGCGCTGTTCAACGTCGGATGAAACCAATTTTGCGTCTTGAAATGTTGCCTATCACGGATCGTTTCATGCTCCAAGGATGTGCAGAGCGGTAGTGAATTGATAAATTCTTACTAGCTGGTTTATGAAATCATCTAGTCACGTATGTCCGTAAGATAAAGTTAGGAGCTATACTCCTTGAGGAGTATAGCATGGCGACGATCGATATGCATCAAATACGTGTAAAACTGGCGATTTTTGTCGCCGATATCGCCGATGGCCAGCTACTATCGGAACTATGTTCCGATAGTAGCTCATACATGGCTTCCATAGCATTTTCATTGGACACACTTGTGTACAACAAAATGACATCAAAGGTTTCAATCGCACATTTTCCATTGAGCTGCCTTGTACTGAGCTGCTCCAAAAACTCTAGTATTCGAAAGATGGGCAGGCACATACTTTAGTAACTGTGTTAGGATCAACAATAGCCATGAGAATTCCGTTAGGGCCACTGCAGCTGCTTATAATGGGTCTTACTTTGTAGTCTAATGGACCTTCAAAATTCTGACGCAAGGAGTTTGTGTCTTTAGTCGCACGTAAAGGACTGGACGTTTGGGTAAATCGACTTTAAAGGCAGTGTCCGGGCAAAAACTAGATTTTGAAATTTTTGCTTACCCGGGCTATTCGCTACGCTGAATCCGAAAATGTACATTGGAGAGCGCGAAAACGGCGAAAAACGCCTCTAACGCAGGAGGGAAATCAGCAGGTGGGCGGGGACCTTCCCCACTGCAAATTCACGCTCCTAGCTTCCAGAGCGATCTTTTCGGTTCCGATTTTAAGTCATGCATTGCCGGTGGAGATCTCAGGGAGCTAGAGGAATTGGGAAGATCGCTTCAAAAGCTGGGACTGCGAATTTCACAGTGGGGAGGACCCGCCCACTTCCGATTTCCCTCCTGCGTTAGAGCCCTTTTTTGCCGTTTTTGCGCTTTCCAATGTGGATTTTCGGATTCAGCATAGTGAAAGGCCCGGGGAAGCACAAGATCTCAAAATCGACTTTTTGCCCGAACACTGCTTTAAGATGCGATACCAGAACTTTGAGCAAGACGATGGAGTTCGCCATATTTACCCACACGTTGAGACGATGGCTTTGTTTTACAAACTCTTGCTTGGTAGAAGTGCAAGACAGAGTGCTATCATCTAGATGATGTTCAATTACTGCCATATCTAAGCTACGCGTCATCACCACGATTTCTTCTGATTCTCGTGGTTGAAATTCTCATCTTCTTAGTAATGCAAAAAATTTGAAGTTTACGCAAACCGCGACGTTGAATGGGAGTGAGATTATTACTAGTGATATGCTCTTTGAAAACTGTGTCCGGGTATAGAAGATTAATGTGGCCAGCATGTGTTTTTTGTATCTACGATTGATGGGGTTCTCGAGGCCTAAAGCTCAGTGGAAACGGAATATGAGGTAAACGAGGGCCAGCACTTGCACCCTTTTGACGAACTTCATCGCTTTGCCTTGCTCTTTGACGTAGACGTTCATGTAACAGCTTTAGGTTACCAACAGTTTTTCGCATCACCCAAGGAGTGAACGATGAGGGTGGGCGCAAAACTTGGACCCATACTGAGAACTATAGTGCTCCTTCAGCAAGAGAGACATTGCGATAAGTTATACTCGGGGCATTGTGGGCGCATCTGTCATTGATGCAGTGTTGATAGCCGATGTCGGTTGAATTTTTTCGACAAAATTAGCAGTGGCTGGGATACACGTTAGTTGTTTGAATCTCGCATCCATAACTTGCCAAACTTCTCCCGTATGCTCAAATTGGCATAAAGCATACAGAACCACAAATGTTTCTTGATCTACTCACAATTATCTTCCAAAGAGCGTTCGGCACCAAGCGTTCGCAACAGTTACTGAAAGGCAGCGCCCAGGCAGATCTGGACCTATGGGGCTTTTACGTGGAAAGTACTTTTGGGGCCCTAACTAAGGCACTACCCAAGCGGCAGCGCAAGTAGTGCTCTAATGGCTGAGATATTCCCCTCGAAACGGACCCCGCGACCGTGATTCGCATGGATTCATGGCGCAAAGCGTGGATCCTGGCGCGAAACTGCCATGAGTCCATGCGAAACACGGTCGCGGGGTCCGTTTCGAGGGGAATATCTCAGCCATTACAGCACTACCTGAGCTGCCGCTTGAGCAGTGCCTTAGTTAGGGCCCCAAAAATACTTTCCACGTAAAAGCCCCATAGGTCCAGATCTGCCTGGACGCTGCCTTTGAAGATATGCAACTTCTCAAAGTAGGGAACAAATGATCTTGTTTGGACTTGAGTGCCGCTTTCAGAATACGCCGCATTTCTTGCAGTTGTCGGATTCTCGCGATATGTTTGTTCATGATGTACTTCGGGGTCAGACGAAAACGTAGGCATCAGCGTAGAAAGAAAACCGTTTGTCTCTAATTGATTTTCTGTCGCATCGAGAGAACATCGATGCAACCTTAGTCTATCTTTCAGCTCTTTATGGTTCAACTCAAACGACGGATACGTAAATCATCTCCGAAGCTTATGACCATTCATGTTTACCATATCTGATTTGCACTAATTCTCAGAATTTTTACTTAAGATTTTCAAAGGAACTATAACAAGCAGATAGTGCAAACCTTTTGTAAATAAATGGAACTTTGTATTCTCCAGCTTCGATTTTGGAATTGCTGAATATTTTATTGTGAAATTCAGAAGAAATCGCATAACACCTGGATGCACCAAGCACTGCAAAATCTCCAGAATATTTATGTTTCAAAACTCAACCATCATCACTGATCTTACAAAATGAATTTGCGTTTACTGCTTCAAAATATAAATTTGAAAACACCACGATGCATTTGCAACGATAGTAAGTTCCGATCGCATTTTCGTTGGATGGAGCAAACTCAGCGAAAAGATCTCTACGCTTCCTATACAGGAAATATTAAAAGAAAGCAGGCTTGGAGTCAAAGTTGCTGAGGGGGAGGGGAGGAGGGAGATGAGTTTGCGAACTTGCCCCGCCTCTACCGATATGAACAATGACTGTGTTTTTGTGATTCATAGGCTGAGTGTGACATAAAGATTTCGTTTTCTCTAATTTCAACAGTCGGAAAGCAAAATTTATTAAGCATGAACTTTGGAATAAGTACAGCACATATTGCGATGGATTATTCGAAAGCATTATGTGTAGCAAAGAAGGCACCGAAACGAAACAACTACACCGAGCACAACCACGTTCAGGAAAGTGAAATAGAGAAGCTTCACAACATTCGGAATATGTTCGGAACCCACAACCGGGTAAAGGCAACAACTAGATAAGGCCTTACTCGAGGTAGAAGGCACAACTAGAATAAAATCATCACCTCTTGAAGACAACAAGAGGTGTCCTGCTCCGAATAAAAGTGCAGACTCTGATCAAAACTAGAAACAAATCTAATAAGCTGAAAATAATTTTTAAGCTAAATTAAGGTTTTTTCTTTGCGTCAAGCTCCTTGACGCTGCCATCTGGTTTCGCGAAAAATACGCTGTCAACAACGTCTATGAACAATCCAGTCTCCACGATCCCTGAATCACATCACTGATACATTACTCATACTTCGCGCATTTATTGTTTGAACCTGGAGTATTAGCGAGTCTAAGCTGAACCTCCTTCCAATCATAGTTCCTGCTCTTCTCAAAAGTCCAGTCAACAATATAATTGTTATTGTCTGTTATCACTGGTCCGCATTTCTTCGTTGCCATCCTAAGCTGCGCAGTTCCACCTTCGGAACGAGGCAGAGATCGCAGCACACATGAGGCGGCAAATGGTAGGACCTATGCATGAAAAGTGTGATAAAAATGGAGAAGGAAACTCAAGGGACTTCAGTATTCTCACTTCGATTGGCACATGGTTGAAGTGTTCACCAAGTTTAACGGATTCTTTGGAACTGTCGGCGATCACCTGTACGATATTTAGAGCCAGAAAATCTTGAGATAATAAGGTTGTTATAAGAGTCAAAACCATGCAATATCCAGAAAGACTTACGAAGAACTTCTTAGCGGCATTTTGTACAATTTTCTCACGAGCAAGGCAGCCGCCACCGCCTTTGATGCATGTGAAATGAGCATCTACCTATAAATGATCATAGCAGAATGTACAAAAAAAAACACTTACTACAGTTCGCAGCAATGGAAGAAAAATGATATAAGAGGAAAAAGCTTGATGTAAAGATTGTTATCACAGTTGTTCGCCCCTACCTAATAATAAAATCTGCAACAATTTGAAGTAAAACATGCATAAAAGAAAAACAATCAGTAACAATTGTGTATAAATCAGATACTATATTCAGACTGTACCTCATCAGCTCCATCAATGCAGACGTCAAGTTCAGGTGTACTATCTAGATCTGTGACCGTTAGACCAGCATCCAACAGCCATCGTTTTGTCTGAATATACACAAGCATAAAAAGCCTTCACAGAATCAAAAATCAAGTGCACTTTGTTCAACTTATGATCGAAAGAGTACATCAAACTAAAATCCCCAATAAAAACAAACACAACTCACCAAGAAACTAGTCGGTACACAAACAATGTTTTGCAATTTTCCTGATTTCACTGCTGATTCAAGATATTCCACAAGATACCTAAATACTCTTTGAAATATAAGGTCGGTAAAATATGTGAAAGGTGATGACTCAAAAGTACCTGAGGAATTACAAGATTATTATTGGTGACTCACTTAACAGTGGAACCAGATCCAACACCAAGGCGACAGCCGCTTGCAATATTCTTTTCTGCACACGCGTAGGCAGCCTAAACGGAACAGTGAGAAAATGGTAAAAAATGAAATGAAAGGAAGAACACGGCCACGAACTAAAGAAACAAGTGCTATTTATTTAACTCGCAATATTCAATCACTAACCTGCCGCTTAGCTTTCTCTATAGGCGTTAACTCAGTAGAGGACACCATTCTACGAATAGTAGAGGTGAGTAGACGAAATCTCGCCACTTTGATGAATCTAAATCGAAAATCGATGAGAAAAAGTGTTTGTAAAAGAGATGAAACGTGATTGTTTAACAATTCGTGAGAAATCGATAGATTAAATCGGCAGTGTTGTTGAGCGATGAAGGCATAGAACAGATAGAAATGCAGGCAGCTGCACTGGCTGGACTCAGACTTTGCAGGTATTTTATACCCTGGTAAAAAGCCGCAAATGATCACAACAGCTGCATGAGCATGTTCGTCTTCGCCAACTGCTCAGGCTGCAGCGCAGTAAAATGAAGAATGGAAGTTAGGGATTCATATGCTCGCTAACGCACAAATTATATTCTATTGTTGAGAAGAGAAAAAGAGCGCTGCAGTCCATCTAGAGTCATCATTCTCGTTGCTGGTAATTCTCTGTTGCTATAGTTGCGGATTATCAAGGTATCAAAAAACGAATACGCTCATGCAAATGATGAAGGAATTTCTTTTATCGAGAATTTTTCAAATCAGGCCAGTTTCCAGCCCAACAGATTCACCGAACCTAATTCGTGCAAGCATGCATGACTACAAAAATTGTTCGGCCATTTGCTACGTATTGTGTCCGAACCGGCCTATACATTAATCATCCCGCAGTAAAGCGAGCTGGTTCGGAGGTCAACGGGGCTCTTTTGTTGTGAGCTTCCTCAGTGTCACAACAAACGTTCATAGCGACGTGTTGTGTTTGCTCCCAGAGTCAAAGTTGCCCTATAGTGGCACAAAAATACTATAAAAATAACTAGATAAGATTCTTGAGAATTGTGCAAAAAAAAACACTGAAAGCAGTACTGTAAAAATTGATTTGCAGGTACAACCTCTGAATATTTCTAGATTCTCGCCTATCCGTATGCTAGCGACAACTTTATCAGATTTTTGGAATTTCTATTGCGGCGAACCAGCCCAGTTATCAAAGTTGCCCCTCGCAAATGAATATTAGTTAACTAGATGGCTTACCCGGCTCCGCCCGGCCCTGTCATTATTTTATTCGTAATCAGCATGCTCGATTACCCCCCTGTACCAACTCCCGGCCCCGTAGCTCAAATTTTGCAAAAAAATCGATAAAGTCGATATCGATCGATGATGAAAAGTAGCCTTTGACACCCGCCGGGGCCCGAAGTGTATGTGTGCCAAGTTTGGTCCGGATCGGTGCAGAAATGGAAATTTCTATTCGGAACATACGTACAAACAGACAGACATACATACAGACAAACAGACATTCAGCTTTATATATAAGATGAACACAGCTTGAAGACGTGCAATACCTCCAAATTTATAGTTCCAAACGAACAAGCGCAAGTGAGGTTTTTTTGCGGTCAAAAATGAATTTCATGATAAGTCTTTGAGGAAGAACAGTATAGATCAGAAATGAAATAGCATGCATTTTAGTACATACTTGCTTCCCGCCAAAGTATTCAGAAATATTCTTAATATAAGTAAAGCTGTAAACGAAAAAATTCTAAAGCATGAAAAGTGGTTTTTGACTTTAGCTTCAAACAACTGGGGTCAGCAGTCCGCCATGATAGGCTAACGCTTGGACGGTTTCGATCTGATCTGTTTCTGATATTCCTCAAGTTGTTTGTGGCTTCTTGTTTACTATTAGATCCATTGGGAAAAACTATATAACGAGCGAGAACTAATTAGCAGTGATGTATTCAAATCAAAAATCAATTCATTATCGCAGATATGGCGTGACTTTGAGCGATGCGGAGATGTGCATTAAAATGGAGAAAAAATCACTGTCTTGAAAACGACGTGGCAATATATTTAAAAACACAAAAAAATTAATCAACGGGTCCGCAAGTTGGTTTGTTTTGGATTTTATATGGGCTCCGAGCAAACCCGAAGTTTTGAAAACACAGCTTGTGCGGTAATGAGTAGCTGACAAAAGAGCTTGTAGCCAACAAGAGAAGCTTCTAATCGACCTTGTTGCCTTCAATAAACTACGGCAATTATGTTTTGCAAGAACAGCGGTATGAAGCCTGCGTACTTTACTATCGCTGCAGTTCTGCATTCGGCGCTTAGGCCCCGGCCAGACTTCGCTCAAAAGCGCTCAAAAACGCCCAAACTTCTTTAGTCTCTCTTCACGTTTTGTGCTAGGAGAGATGAGGAAAAGTGAAGAGAGGTTAGAGGAATTTGGACGCTTTTGAGCGCTTTTCGGAAATCCGGGCCTTGGTATGATTATATTATGGAGATATAGGTTCACTGATTATTTGCAGAAAGGGACCAGCAATGAAGAAATCATCTCAAAAAATGCATCCAAGGCGGGCAATAATGTGGTTGATAGAAGCTAACCCAAAAGAAACGTGGACACTGGTCGTAAAGACATAAACAGGTTGAGGCAAGTCACGAGGACCAAGTGATCAATCGGCCAAGGGCTTGTATTTAGCAAAACAAAGTGTCAAAGATCAGAATGCTCTTCGCATAGTGAGAGTTGCACGAAATCGCAAAAAAAAGCATTTAAACGTTTATATCCTGGCTCAAATGTAAAATGTGCAAGAGCGCAAGAGCTTGATGCAACGGTTTGAAGTAAAGAAAGTTTCTGATTGAATAAGAAATGAAGAGTAAAGAAGAATAGAAATGAGCAACAACAACAGCGCGTCTCCCTTGTACAGTTTTTGAGGGCTAATCAAAGAATGAAGCAGCAAAAACTCCAAACATGATGATGTGCATATCGAGGATAGCGATAAAGAAAAAGCGATAGTAGTACAGCTAAAAAAATAACGCTCATTTAGTGGAAAGGTTCAAGGCAACAGGGGGTACGGGAAAATAGTTGTGATAGGAGATCTCAAAGGAAATAATCAGATCGAAAATCAAGTTTCAAGATGTAGTGATATAACGGCAACGTAAAAGAAGGAAATTCAGAGATTAATAAGGATAGCCGAATTATGAGAATCCGATATTAGTTCGTGATATCCTAAAATCTTACACAGGAGTCCGCTTTTTTGACCCAAAATGTATAGATCCTTCAAATAATTCCGCCTTACAAATACGTCCTTTTTTTTCACTATAACCATCCTAAAATATTGCCAGATAAGTCAGGACTAAGCTTTGATTCAGCTGGCTTGGCGGCTGGATGGGGGGGGGCCTGCGGCTAGTTGAGACCGCTCGCCCCTCGACGCAGTCTGCACCTCTCCCCCGCGAGGGCTTTCTTAGTGTTACCTAGCCTTAATTAGGTCACAAGCCCCGCCTTTCAGCCGCCAAGCCAGTTGAATCAAAGGGTATCCGGAGAGGGATTTAACTGATGGGAGAGTGAGATTTTAGGGTCGTTAGTCTCTCTTGGCATATCAAACTTGCAAAAAATTATAGAATTTGGAATCACGTTTGTTGCTAGCACTACAGAAAAAAAAGAATTGATGGAACAACTTATATGCTTTTATGCTATAACAAAAAATGAAAGATACAGACCACTTTAGAGAAATGACCCTAAAAGCGAATTTCGTACAAGGTGATAAAGCTTGACTGACGCAATCGAGAACTTTAAAATGGGACTTAAATCACAGCATTCTATAGAAAAGTGGAAAATACCACTTTCGAAGACACAGAAGTTGATTTTAGTATCTCAATCCAACCAGCGTACTCAAAGCCCCACAGACAACCATTTATCATGTGCAACATCAGATGATCAGAGCTCACGTTTCAACCCAAAGATCTTGAAATCTGAGAGAGTACACTGTTTTTTTTTTTTGCAGTTATGAATTTGTCATTAACGCAGACAGTCCACAAAGCTGCGGACAATGCAGCGACGCGGCTCTGACATCTCAAAGGCCTTCAAATATTCTCTGGTCTCTGCATCTGCTTAAGACTATGCGCTAATTAAATGCAAAATAAAATGAGAGACTGACACCTTATAAGACCTGCGGAAGAAAACGAACGAACTCATTCAAAATAAGAATAACGCGGTTAGCAATGCCAGTATTCCCGACGTGAATGAGATTGAAGACGGATTCGGAAGACCTCATGCGCAAAAATGGAAAATCCAAGCAAAGTCGCTATAAATATAGCCAATCCTATCGCTCCAGTCATTGGTAGTAAAAGGGGATACAAATTCGTTAAGTAAATGGAGCGCAACCACAAGAGCTACCTGCAGCTATAAACAACAATCCGATTTATCTGTACATATCAACTTAAAAACATGCAATATGCAATTTGAACAAATTACAATCGTACACTTTTGGCTAATCTATTTAAAGCACCATTACACATTGTATGCGATGTTATACATAAAACAAATCGAGAAATAGTGTAGCTTGGAAAGCCTTGCAGACTGATTCGATTCATAGAACGATCGAGATTAACTGCTACGTTGTACAAAGCAAGAACCGGCGGTGATAGAGTCGTCAGAGAAGCTATGACCAAGGATGATGTAGCAGGATAAAAATAACCGTTGGAAAACTTACAAAAAGGCAGGAAATCTGACTCAACTTACAAGCAACATAAATGAAAGCAGAGCAATCATGTTGAAAGTGTTATAGTGATAGCTTGGTCTACAAAAGGCAAAAAAGATGTGAGCAAGCAGCCGATATCAACTGACAACCAAGCAGTGTGATAAAAGAGTGCCTAGAAATTCGGAAACGATAGAATATGATTTACAATCAGAAATCAAATTATTAGACGAAATTATTCAACAAAATTGGACATGGATTCAAACAGAAGGAAAGATGTGCAAAAAGAAGACAAAAGAACAGTTACAATCCTTTGTTTTTATTGCCAGCATATACAGGATTTCGGAAAGTGGTGGTGGCCTGTTTGTAGATCGGATTTTCATTCTAAAAAAAAGAAAGTTGACGCTGAGATTTGCTTGATACACAAAAATGAACGGCAGAAATAAGACATACCGTATCCCACTTCGCCATAAGCCTTTCATTGTTGAACTTAGCGTACTCAGCACGATCATGCAGTACGGTGAGAAGCTTCCAGACGAGGAGAAGGATCAAGCCAAGAATTACAATTCCTGCTATGACGCCAAGTACGATGGCAAGAACAGGCACAGGTGGAGGGCAGTCTATAAAACCACAAGGTACGAGTATAACAGCTAATTATTTTATTGCTAAAATGACTTGCACTCATTAATGAAAAGAAGAAAGGAAGAATATTAGCGGCTCAAAAATTTCTCTACCTTTGTGTTCCCGGACCCACACGGTAGCATTATCCGTGGCTTCATCGTAGTAGTAAAGGTAATAGAAAGTGCAGTCATCAGCAGGATCAACAAACTGACAAGCCGTAGTCTCATTCAGTTCTGAAAGCACTTCTTTATCCCGCATGCTTGGAATCCTAGTGACCATTCCTAGTGACCTACCTGGTAGCTCTTCAACGGGTATCACTGTGAAAGGACACTCTTTACATCGTTCTTCGTCATAAGGACCAGTGCCCCATTGCTGGCACATAACGCAGGGCTTATATTCTATACATTTTGTCGGACAAGTCTGCAAGGCTGACATTAGGACGGAAAAATTGACTGAAGTAAAGAGCAGACTTACGGGACAGATTTCGCACTTGGCTCCAGAGTACCTGTTTCCATCTGGTCCATCGAAGCACCGACAACGTCCGCAGATGCATTCGCCCTTTCCATTGCAGATTTTCCCATTAGCAGACATGCAAGAGTCTTGGCTGATTGGGCATTCACATGCACGTCCTAGATATTCAATTATCAAATGGAAATCACAAGCACAACATTTTGCACTTCGCTATAGAACATCAATGCTTGAACAAACATAGTCAAAAACTACAGGAAATTAAAATTCTGATACGATCATTTCATAAATAAGAATAACGAGGATAACCAACACTTCGTAAACTGATTTCAAGATATTACCTGTCCATCCTGGGGCACAAATGCACTGTCCACAGTTACATTCTCCATGTTCAGCACAAATTTTGCGATCATGTCGAGGACAATTAAAGTTATCGCACTCGCAGAATTCTCCCGATATCTGCTCCTCAGGGTTCTGCAAGTTTCCTTTCATGTTCAATCTATTGCAAAACACAGGTGCGATAGTGTGAGAATTTTCTCACCCCCCTTTCACCCCTGAGCCAGGACCAAGGTGACCCCTTCACCAAAAGCCGAGAAGAAAAATCAATATGAGGTAAGGTTAAGCAAAGGAAATATTTGTAGGTGAATTGTTTATGTAAGGAAAGGAGGAGTCTGTTGAAAAAAGTGCTTGCTAGGGTGTGAGTAGTGATTTCTGGACATTTTCGAGCTTTTAACATGAAAAAATTCATAACTTTTGTAGATGAACATCTTTTAGGCGAGATGGTCACCGTTACAACCGCCTCGTCCTCCATTTTCAAATGATATGAAATTTGTCTTAGATCTATTCAAAAAACTGCCTGGGTGAAGGGTGTGCTCAGTGATTTCTAAAGATTTTCGAGTTTTTAACACAAAAAATTCAAAACTTCTGTAGTTGAACATCTTATGCGCCCTGATGGTCACCTTTGGAACCGTCTCGTTCTCCGCCTTAGAAAATATATACCTTGCCTGGGGTCCGTTAGAAAAAGTGCCTGGTGAAGGGTGGGTGAGACTTTTATAATAAGGGTGCCAAGTACAGGCTATTTTACCATTGTAAAAAGACATCTATTAGGTTGTGAAGAAAATAATGTCGCTTTTTTGGGTTTTTTAGTGTAAAGACAACAGACTCCAGGCAACTATATATGCTCTATAAGCGGAGGACAAGGTGGTTTTGAAAGACATTTCCCTCGCTGACGTTGCTGTTCATCTACAGAAATTACGAATTTCCTCTTTTGAAAAATTCGTAGATATCCAAAAATTGTCTAACTTTTTCCAAAGCAAATCTTCACGCATGCACATCTTCTATGGTAATTTTAAAAACGGGCAGAGTGATGTAAAAAAGGAAAAAGGAAAAATGTAAAATACAAGGTGCTGGTCAGAACCATAATTGTGTGCTAATCCAGCAGCACATTTGCTCACATTTCAGAAAAAAGGCAATCAGTGATGGCAAGATTGAAAATTATAAACTTCGACTAGGAAGAATGATGAGAACACTGGCTCCCTCCCCCCCCCCCCCTCCCGGTCGACATTTTTTGATTTTATGATTTCTTGATCAACTGAAACACCCTTCACCCGGAGGGGTTGCGACCGCTGTGACCCCCTTCACCCTGGAGGGGTCATTCTCACCCTATCGCACCTGTGTTGCAAAACGGCATATTTCAAACGAATGTATGTTAGAATACTTGAGAACAAAATGAGCCAAGTATGTGATAGAAACGAAAAGCTATCAGTGATTAGCTAAGGAAACAAAGCTCACCTGACGCGGGTTGCATTCGCAGCGCCCACAGTTGCATACTCCTCTTCCTTCACAGATCGCTGATTCATTGGTGCTGAAAATCAGAGATTCAACATGAATATTCGATCCATATAAAACCCTCTTCTCAAAAGTCAATATCGCAACCTAGTGCTCAAACGGACATTATGCGAACAAACACCGAATACAGTACGGCTAAAAGCGCACAGAACAACTTTGTCTTACCGTTTGCACTTCTCATTCAAAGCGGCAGTGCTCATTCCTGGACGATTGCATTCGCAATAGCGGCCAACATTTCCACCTTTACAACGGCAAACACCGCAGACCTGGTCACCGCCATGACACTCTTCAGCATTTTCAACGATACGGTCCTGATAAGCATGAGGTAAGGCTTTCATTGAAATAAGTTTTCCACTAATTACCTCCTGTTCGCAATCGCAATCGCAGAGCACCTTCACATTGACAATAAGTGTCTCGTCCAGGCCAGAAGGGCCAATCCTCAGGACGAAATCTCTCTTATCAACACAGTGGGTAGCTTCAAGTGTCACCTCGAATTGCACCTCATCTCCTACACGGATACCCTCGCAAACATTGGTGTCGCGAAGTGTCGTCCCGCTGGAAAGGATCACTTTCACTACAATGAAGCAAGCAAACGTAGGAAAAAAAGCACTCACTCCAAACACATACTGCGATAGGTCATTTTCAGTCCATCACTGGCATTGGCATTATCTACCATGATGATTTTCTCACTAATTTTCAGATACTCTTTTTCGATGAGGTCGACGATGTTGCGCGAATCAGTCTCAAGAATTCCGACAGAAGAGGAGACATCAGGAAGGGATTCAGAAAGCTAAATGTTTGCTTTACATAACTTGATAATGGCAAATAAATTATCAGATGAGTTTACTCCTGCCAACATTCTCGCAGTTGATTGTGACGAACGAGAGAACCAAATGCGGAACACAACGAAATTCACAAGAGTATGAAATGAAAGTACCTGGGTATAGAGCTCATGATTGCCTTTGGTGACTGCGAAAATGATATTTGCCTTTCTGTCCTTGATCATCTGATGGAGGAGAGCAATGGACGGGTAGTCCTTGAACAAAATGTACGCATGCGCGTAATTTCAAGTCGCAAGAAAGAATGGAAGTATATAATGTTCTGACCTGCTTCAGAGTTTCCGTGTAATATCCGTCACGATCGAGATGACACTCACCATCATTGGGTTCCACCACTCCTGCTAGCTGAAATACCTCATCTTTGAGAAAACTGATTTCATTAAATTCATTTACGTAAGCAGCACATGGAGAAACCAACTGACCCTTCCGTCACCTGCAAAGTGAAAACCAGCGTCTGTTGAAAAGACAAGCATTTTACGAGCACGCTCTCTCCAGCCGATTTTGCTCTAAACAGCTTGTGAGTATACATGTGTACTATATGTAGAGTAGATGAGCACTCACATTGCATGCCAAAGCCTGAACGACGGCGTCGAAGCCTCCTTCCGGAGCGTCGAGATTACCAGAAATTTCAGCTTTGTCTACTTCCGCCTGTACCAGTAGCGATGTACACTCCAGATTTGGAAGAAAAACAAGTCAAAATCACCTTGAACTTTTCGGTGTTTGTTGTCAACGTCATCTGATGCTTGAATCCATATGGTTCAGCGCAAGGCTCGGCACATGGCGACTTCTGCCTAAAATCAAAACATTTTACAACTCCAAATATCATAGATGCTACTCACTTTTCAATTCTAGGGTCAATAAATGGCATGAGTTTTTTGTCGATGAAGGATCCAAAACCCAGGCGGAAGTTCTTCGTAATGTTACGCATACGAACAGCTGTAACAATTCACAAAAATGCACTTACATGACTTGCTGGAGAAAGTTAAAATCCATACCTAGTAAATCTCCAAGTTCAGAAAGTTTCTGCTTGTCATCTTTCATGGAATATGAGAGATCCATAAGATAATAGAGATCAACAGGGTAATCCACAGCTTGACGATATGTGACATTGAAACGGACTCGTGATTCTCAAAACCAAATTATGAGATAAAATTCAACAGGGTGATAAAACCTTTCTTACTTGGTCTAATTTCCACAAACATTTCTTGAGGTTTCAGCTGGACAGCATCATCCTCATTCTCGACTTGTCCTTTATCAGAAAGTGGCTCATCCTTAATTCAAAAACTTTGCAGGATAAGGACATCAATGTCATAACTATTGCAAGAACCTTTTCCACTTCCAATACTGTTTGAGGATCTTCGATGAATGATTCAGGGCAGCCGTGTTCTAGCAATCTTGCGCGATTATCGCATCTTGCATACTGCTTCTTGGCGTCAAAGAGCTGCAAAATGGAGGGAATATACTGCGCAAATTTTGATTTAGAAAAAGAAACAAAGCACTCACGGGAGCTCCACACCAAGCACATGAATCATGCAGTTGAATGCATGCGCCGCAAGTGTAATTATCTCGTGACAACGAGTAACATGGAAAATCCCTTTTCCCCTCTACGACTTCACCAGTAACTGTAACGTGAACATTCAGGAATATCGATATATAAAAGATGGAGAAGAGAATTAAGGACCTTCTCCTGTTTTCCAATCACTAACATCTGCAGCCAGGGCTGTGCTAGCCACAAGAAGCAATATGCTACCGAACATCCCCTGTAAAAAAATCATAAAAAACCTAGCATTCTTCAGAAATTTTACTTATCACTTCACCCTCGAATTAGGCAGACACTCGTGGTCACCCCGGCGTAGCTACCCTTAAAATCATGGACGTCAGGTTTTAACGAAAATTTGAACAACAAGACCGCAAACACTAGATACATGCGACATCAGGTCACAAATGCGGTTGCTTGATATCGGCAAAAGATCATGGAACTAAAGCCACAGAAGACTTGCAGAGGACGAATCATAGTAAATTCGTAACAGTTTTGCAGTGAAAATACTAGCCTGCAAAAGAGTAACACCACTTTTTTCTCACAAATTTTTTTGCGCTACTGAACCGGTTGTTGAAGGCGATAAAAGATGGTGATGGATGCATAAAATAACTGTACGAAATTATTTCAACAGGCAATGTGTACATGAGCGATTGCGCTACAGCAACAGAATCGAAACAATGAAAACGAACGGATGCACCTTAGTACACAAATCAATACCGTAGCGAAAGTGCACTGAACAAGACAATAGGTTGGAAGTAGAGCAAGATGAGCAAAGTAATCTACAGGCCTATTATGTAGGTCCAAGGTTTGTGTGTGATGATAAAGGGCACTTTCATTTAGTCTGAATGAGGCAATGGTTGAGATTTGGATGCTTTGCTAAGAAGGTGTTATACACTGAAATAATTGTAAACTGAAGAGTGAAGACTTTGCGACCTACTGAGTGAACTGCATAACAACGTCAGCCGCTAGATTCTTTACTTTTAATAGACAAAGGCAAAATATCGAAAACTGCAAAGCGTTGCCGTTTATTATTCTTCACTTGGTGAACATCCATTCATTACCCACAGCAGACGATAATATTAATTCTACAGCTTGCAGCCTCGTAAATGTTCTTGAACTATCGTCTAATGCAGAATGCTGCAACGATTAGCGAGTGAATGCAGCAGCGTACGTCAAAATGTAAATCATTTTGCCACATTCGCAAAAGCTACATTACTCGCTTATAAAAGTGAATACGACTAAGCTTCGATGGGCATTGTGTCATCAAGTGCACAGTGCTTCTGGTCGAAATGATAGGCAAGCTTGTAACAGCTTTTGAGAGATTGCGATGAGAAGCTAAGCACTTTCACTTCACTCCAGACATGTCTTCACCAATCTGCACCCATTTGTAAAACGCGACAAGATAAATAGTGCCCTACACAGCACAAACATGGTAGGTAGAGGCTATGAAACTAGAGCGAGAGAAGAAAGTAAACACATACACGCTACACCTCCCACATACCGTGTACAATTAAATCGATATATCTGAATGCATAAGAGTAGGCGGCTGTACTAAAAGATTTCCCTCGGTCTGCTAGGCACACAGTGTAACAGAGGCGCGGAGGCCGCAACGATGCAAGCAGCAGTGGGAGGGCGAGCAGACCTGTTAAGCGCGGAGAGAAAAACTGGAGGAAGTTATGAACCTAAGTACACAAGTATTATATGTGGCGAGCATAATGAGTCATCCGGATAGCATGAGTCACTTTCACACAAAAAACCTCATTCGTCCTAACCGAGCCGTAAACAAGTGGAAATTGAAAAAATTATGTGTGAAGCTTTTTCACATAAAACGGAGAAGAAACCAAAAATAGAGTAATGGTTATCATGCAAACAGGTAAATTCAAAGAATTCAAAGAAGAACTGAAGCAAAGAAAAACATTACCTGAAGAGCCGAAAACTTTCAGTACCTCAACTGCCTTTTTCCAAATCTCGAAGAAACCTTTACCATATAAACCACTCTGCTAGAAAGGAACAAAAAGTAGTGAACGCGATTGGCATATCGCCAACTGTCCGGCGCGACCTATTGATTCGGGGCTAGTGGTGGAATGAGACAGCCTGCGATTTTAAGAGACCGAGAGTTGATGGCCCCTTGTGGTGACCACCGTTAACAGCAGCAGTGTGCAGGCGGAGGCTGAATAAGTGGGCAGCTTTAGCTTCCACTAGCTGCTGCTGCGTCTTGCGATCGAATATTCACAAACGCTTTAGCAACGGCGGCAAAAAAGTGCAGATTATGCACTTCTGCAAAGTCCCAACGCATCGTAAAAGGCAGCAGAGCTCTAAACTTAGCAGAAGTAGAAGATGTAAGAGAAAGATTTTTGTGGAAAATGCACTGAACGTCCAAGACATTTTGCACGATGGCAACAATTTATAGCGCAGCAACTCCAGAAAAGAAATTGATTCCCTCGGGGAATAATGCTGTAAAATCCTCCAAAAAAATCTTCCTACAAAAACGCCCTAGCAAGCAAATTCACATAATGCATTCTATCGACTGATATTTCTGCTAGCTAAATATTTCATGCCAATACCAATGTAAAATTCTGCAAATGATAAGAATGCTCAGAAAATTAGTTTAAAGAAGTTTTAGCTATCGGTACCACTCCATTTACAATTCTGAACTAAGAGAAGAAGCCTAAGTCAGATTTCATGATGAATCACATTCGTCTGAGAAATGACTCATAGCGGATGACATTCAACTTGGGGCGTGGACCGGAAGAAGCGTGACAGACTTTCAATGTAACCATTTAGTGAGGAATTTAGTAGAGACAGTGACTTGACTTTGATATAGTTTTCTTGGATTAGCAGCAACATCTGCGTCTAACAGTGGCAATGTGCGCTCCAAGGAATATCTCCGCGTAATCCGCTAAACAAGTGAGTTATTAAGTTGAGTTACAAGTTACCTGAGCAGATGTGACCTTTGCCGCAGAAGATATCAATTAAAGCAAAAATTACTAGACTGTAACCAATAGAAAACGCAAACGATCTTTACTTACAATCGATGATGGCCATCCTCTGGTATAGCCAGATAATCTAATGCCGCAATCAAAGCCGATGCAATGCCACTAACAAGGAGTGCCACCCATCTGACTCAGTCGCAGAGAAAAAGAAAAAGAAAGAGAGAATAACAGTTATTAGTGAAAATTAGCAAGTGCATAACAAGGAGAAATCGTAATTCAAAATCATGCCAGGTATTTTCAAGTAAAAAATCAAAATGATAAAAAAATGAAAAAGAAATAAAAAATGATAGCTAATTAGTATTTCGTGAACTGAAACAACTAAACTAATTGAAAGGACTGAGGTAATCTTTATTCTTTACAGTGATACAACATATCATCATTTCGAAGCAAATTTTGAATTCAGGAAACCTTCTGAGCGTTGAAGAGATCTCTTGTTACTCTGTAACCACTGTTCGACGCTGAGATCGGCAACGGCAGTGTTCAACTGGCTTCTGTAAATATGTTCGTTAACTACAAAAACGACAAGTTCTTAACACTGAATAGGTTTGCAACTTTGCGTCCGGCAGCACTAAAAAATAAGTAAAATGTGGCTCATTTATATGAGTGCTCACTCAACATCATTAGAGGAACAGAATTTAGCAATACAAGCATGAGATTTGAAGGTTCAACACAGGCAGTGCCGAACGGAGAGAGGGGGAGGAGATCGGAGGGACCATGAAGCGCAAAATTCTCAAAGTTACCAGCATGAGATATGAATTGCGCAGGTGACTAATTCTTACTTGGGAATAATTGAAAGAAATCTTGGAAAAATTGGATCTTGGAATTTTTTTGGATTTCCGCCAAATCCTTTTTCTCTTAAATTTCGTAGTTATGGGACATTGAAAATTTTAGAAACATTCCAGAAAAATTTTCGGAATGCTAGCTGGGGCCATGTATCCTCATTCGGAAAATTTTTTTTATGTAGTAGACCCCTCCCCCGCAAGAAAGATTTCTCGGGTCACCATCGGCACAAGCCTATGCCATTGACAATTGAAATGTAAATGTCGATTTCCGACCCCTTGATGCAATAGCAATACGACTGACCTGATAAAGCTAGGGGCCTTATCTTGTGAGTCCTCAACTTCTTCTTGCTCATCAGCCAAACGAGCTCGCTTCAGGTTCTTTTTGCGAGTTTCTTGCCGCCAAATTGCATTCTGCGTCATCTCTTGTAACTTTGCTTGCTTTTCCTCTTCTGTCAATGGACGCCGATGCTCAGGTTTCTGTGAATGAAAAAAGGTATATTGTGAAAAATTGTCCAAATAAGTAAGAACCTGGTAAACGGGCGCAGTTGGCTTTCGGGAAAGCTCGTAAGGGTTTTGTGCTGTGATGGGTCCATCATCTTTAGGCTTCTTTACAACCTAGAACGTGTTCATTGAATGACCTCTAGATAACGGAAAGTTGCGCGATACCCACTTCAACAAGGCCAAAACCCTCAAAGCGTTTTTTGCGTTCCCTTTCCTCGCGCTCAAATCTGTCCTCCGTTTCCTCGTCAGAATCGGTTTCGGCCGCCTAAATAAGAAATTATATAGAATCTCTAGCCATATTGCTTTTAGTTTACAGATATTACAACCATATACCTTGGGTCTTAAATGCTCAGGGATGTGAGTGTCAAAACTCCGCACCGGTTGTTCGTCTTCCCGAGAGCCGCTTCTGCAAAAAAAAAAAATCAGAAAATCCAACTTGTTCAGCATGAGAAAATTTAAGCAAAAATTTTGACTAGTGGTCCTGGAACGGCGTGCAACAACACTGCAAAAGGACCAGTTGGCCGCGAAAGGCGGCTCAAACTGGCGGCCTTCGTTCCCCTACCCTGAGAAAATTAGAGCAAAAATTTTTTGCATGTAACTGTATCTATGATTGCTTCTATCTTCAAAATTACATTCTGATTTGTAGCCAATCTGATAAAATATATTTTTCAATCAAAGCCAAGCAATCTGGAAATTAAATTTGAGGTACCCCAATTTGACGCGTACAAAGCGCACCTTTTTCGATTATTCAAGCAAGCCGTTCAGGCTCTATCTCGCGATTGTTAAGATTGTTGACAAATTTGATAAAGAATGGTATGTAAATGAATTGCGCTCTTAAAAAAACGTAGTAAACCGACTGCAAGAAGAAACTTACGGGCGCTCTGTATCCTTCCGATCTTCTACTTTCCGATCTTCAACAGTGGATGGAGAATGAGCATGAGCATCTTCACGTCCTGTACCTTTCTTTGTAGAAGAGACTTTCCTATTCCTATTCGAATCTTCTAAACTAGAAGTGGAAGTGGATGGTGACCGGCTGACATGTTTTGCTTTCTCCTTTCTTGCAGGTGAGGGTTGTGACTTCCGTTGGCGCATATCCGGAGTTGAAGAGCTACTGCTACTACGTTGAACTTCTTTCTTGTTCTTCCAAAGCCGATCATCCGGGCTTCTCTTAAAACTCCTCCTCCTCCGCCTCTCAGGTGATGCTGAAGAAGACTCGCTGCGCCTTCGTGTTCGCTTTGGTGACCTATGATTGGACTGTGATCGGGATCGAGACCTTCGTGTTTTTCTTTCCGGTGACCTTTCGCGTTTAGGAGAAACTGATTTCTTCCTGCTACTACTACCGACTCTGTCCTTGCTTCTCACAAAAGAACGATCTCTGCGTGGAGAAGCACTTCTTTCACGGTGGTCTTCTGATCTCTTCCGGCGCTCTGGAGAGGACCTATTTACGCGGCGCTTTTCCATAGTCCGCTCAGCAGAAGAAGACGAGTTTCGTTTTCTTCTGCGTGGAGAGGAACTCCGGTCACGATCCTTTGACCTTGGCCGCCTCTCCTTGGCAGAGCTATTAGTATGGCTCTTTCTCGGCATTGGCTCAGCAGAAGACGATGAGCTCCGTCTCTTTCGTCGCGAAGCATCCTCTGGCGACAAACTGCTTCTTTGTCTTCTCTTGGTTTTCAAAGGAGGTGATTTATCGTGATGTCGGCTCTCCTCTTTCTCAGATCGCACTGGTGATCGTTCGTGAGATTTTCTAGCTTCGCTTGGCCTGCGCGATCGCCGTTTTTCCCGTGCAGGTTCCGAATCGGATGAAGCAGGGCGGCTTCTCTAAAAGAAAAGTGCAGAGATAAGACTTAAGGATAAGAAATCCCGAACAGTCAAAATTGATATTTGGGACGCTTTCGTTCCTGTATAATCACTGCAAACTTCTGCTCCAAGGGAACGACTATAGGTTGACGACAACGGCTGCAAAGGTTGCTGTAGTTATTAGATAGGATAGGGCATAGTACATAGAGAGTCATATACGGTCCTAAAAGCACCGCCAACCTGGGTAACCGTTGCCGGCAACCTATTCCCGTTCCCAAGGGAACCAAATGTTACTCATCAATCTGTGCAAAAACTTCTGTTTCGATGGAATTATTACTGAGGCTTAGGCACGAAGAATCACGGGAATGGTGAAGTAGAGCGCTGAGATTACATAGTATTCTGGATTTTCCTACTACTTTTCCTACCATCCTACGGTTGCCTACTCTCCACAGATGACCCAAACAAGAATATTACGAGCAAATATGCAACGATATGATTCGCATGTCATATCTCCAACAGACTCAGACCAACTTTCTTATATAATTACGCTACGCAAAAAGAGATCATTTCTCCCTTTCAAATCAAAATCTCAATTTAATTTACATGTTTACGTTATATAAAGTTGAAACTCCAGGAGTAAGTTGACTCTAAAGAATATTTTTCTAAGGAAATTTTCACCCATCCATTAAAAGTATCGCGGGTTAAAACAGTAACAAAGAAAAGAAAACCGAGAATCATTCAGTGAAGACCGGATTTAGCTCTCCTTCATTGATAAAAAAAAGCACGATTATGCTGATGCAATATCAAACAACATACCTTACTGTTTGATGACTTCCGACGCTCGGAGACTGATGCCTCTTCCTTGGACTCCCTAGACATTTTCTTCTGGAAATCACAGATGGATCTGTGCCCAAAGAATCATATGTTGAACTTACTTTGATTTTCTTAGGCTTCTCCTCACGAGTTTCTTTCTTCTTCTTCTTTTTCTTCTTCTTCTTGTCTCCCTTACCTTCTTTTTCGGCCATCATTTCTTTCAACATTTTTTGAAATTTCAATTTCATTAGAGGATTCTCCAATACCTCGCGTCGTCGAGTTTCTTCTTTGACCTTGAAGATGCAAATTCGTGAACGTAGAGACTAACAAAATCCATGAGAACCTACTTTGACAGCCACTAGAGGATCTTCTGTAGCGACGACATAGGTTTCCAAAGCACTGGTTTTCACGGTGGATGGTTGCGGTTTGACGACTGTTCTGAAGGAAAGATTTGATTATTCATAAACCAGCAATTCATAGTGGCTAGGGTTTACCGTGTATGCAAAAGTGCATCCAGTGCTTCTGGTTTCTCTTCATTAACAGCATCGGAGTACTTCTCGAAACTTTTATCAATCTGAAAGAGATGATAGGTCGTAAGTGCTCGATTGACGACAAAAAAAGAACTTTAACCAATAAGTAACACTATATGGACGCTGTTCTTTACCTTCTTTCCTAACAGGTAATCCTCACGATTGACAAGAGCTTTTGCTCCCTGATACATCCACCCAATGTCCTTCTCTTCAGTCATTTCTGTTCTAAAAGCGTTTGCTTGACATAAGATTTGACAGATAAGATGACGGATAATTTTAAGCCGGACAAGCTGGAAGTGAAGCTGGAATCTCATAAGAACTGTAAAAAATCCGCCAATTTTCAAAATGAACCACATCCTTAACGTCGACCAAAAAGTCCAAGCTCTACAGTTTTGATATGCACACTTGTTGTTCGCTCTATGCAAAAAGCATGTATAGGGACCTCAATGGGAGAGCGATCTTTGAGCTGAAAGAAAAAAGAGAAACAACAAAAATTTGGCAGTTGTACAATAATACCAAACGACTAGCCCATTTTTACAGCGCTCAATGGCGCGCGCGCACTTTATCATGCGCACATTCGTCCGCCACGTAGTCACTTGCAAATTCAAATCGATTTTGTCTTGTTCTCGTTTAATTGTGTTGCCATTTGTTATTAGTCAAGGTAATCGATTCTGTGTTGCAATGAAAATTTCTGCGATTTGTTTTTCATTTTTCTTACTGTGCTCACGCCTGATTGAAGTAGACAAACTCCCAACATGGCACTGCATTTGGAATTTTACAGGCCACCTCTGCATTTCATTATGGGATGCTTTGCGGAGATTCTTTTAATCTTCACATCTATCTAATACAGTTCTCTTTGATCGTTTCTTCTCTCTCATCTTGTTGCATATGTCCTTTGTCGAATTCTCACGTAGAATTCCAACGCACCGGTAACGTCGACAACAACGTCAAATGTTTATTCAAAACTACAAACAATGACTCACTAAACCGGGCAAACAACGCTCGAATTTCCATTTCTCTCATACTGTCTTTTCTAATTACTCAGACGGTGTTCCATCAATGTGAGGACAAATCAGCGAATACTTGTTATAGGTCATCTCTTCCAATTTTACCTGCGTCCAGCTGGATACATTTTCATATCTATTTCGTATTTGTACAATCCAGCTTTTGAATTGACAGATTTGAATTCGTCACAAAAATGGCGGTAGACTCCAACTCACTTTTCTTTCATTTCGATCAACATAAAAGAACATCTAAAATGAGGTAAAGCAAAATTTTTTGAATTAGTCGACTTATTTGAGCGTTTGTATCTCTTACTCTGAAGAGTAAATGGCTTTCTTTGATACACCATGAAACAATGGGTTAAATCACGTTGGGTGTATGTCAAGAGGCGCGATTTTTATTGCCAGGTGGACACCAAATAGCACATAATAAGTTTTTTACAACTTTCTAAAAGTATATGAAATTTAGAAAAAGATACATTAGATAGTTGCATGGACTGCTCAACCTTTATACACAGGAAAAAATTCAAAACAACGATTTTCAAAGTCAAAAACCCACGAAAATGCAGTCAGGAACCAATTTGTAGATATTTCAGTCCGTTTTGTAGCAAAAACCATGAAACTCAGCAAGTGGTAACCTTAGACAGGTAGTAAGCCAATGCACTTTATTTGATAACTAGCTGGCATACCCGGCTCCGCCGTATCCGGACCAAACTTGGCACACATACACTTCGGGCCCCGGCGGGTGTCACAGTCCACTTTTCGTTATCGATCGATGTCGATTTTACCGATTTTTATCGATTTTTTTGCAGAGTTCACCTACAGGGCTAGGAGTTGGCACAGGGGGGGAAGTGAGCATGGGGATTCCGAATACAATATTAGTTTTCAGAATTATCGATTACTTTTATTGATTTTATCGATTTTTTGTAAATTTTGACATGCGAGGCTGGGATTTTGCACAGGGGGTAATCGAGCATGCTGATTACGAATACAATATTAGTTTTCAAGATCGTCCATTACTTTTATCGATTTTATCGATTTTTTGAAAATTTGAGCTAGGGGGCTGGAATTTGGCACGGGGGTGTAATCGAGCATGCTGATCATTCCCCTTGGGGTGATCAGCATGCTCGATTACCCCCCTGTGCCAACTCCCAGCCCCCTAGCTCAAACTTTGCAAAAAAATCGATAAAATCGATAAAAGTAATCGATAATCCCGAAAACCAATATTGTATTCGGAATCCCCATGCTCGATTACCCCCCTGTGCCAACTCCCAGCCCCGTAGCTCAAACTTTGCAAAAAAATCGATAAAATCGATAAAAGTAATCGATAATCCTGAAAACCAACATTGTATTCGGAATCCCCATGCTCGATTACCCCCCTGTGCCAACTCCCAGCCCCGTAGGTGAACTCAGCAAAAAAATCGATAAAAATCGATAAAATCGATATCGATCGATAACGAAAAGTAGCCTATGACACGCTCCCTGCCCCGAAGTATATGTGTGCCAAGTTTGGTCCCGATCGGTTCAGAAATAAAAATTTCTATTCCGCACATACGTACAGACATACAGACAGACATACATACATACAGACAGACATTCAGCTTTATATATAAGATTTTTAGACACTCGCATCACTAAACTGGAGTTTTGAGTAGGTGACAGCCGGAGAAATCGCGCCTCTTGACCGTCTCCCAATCACGTTAACTGTTTTCGCTATATCCTTTCTCTCATCATATGTTTCATGCTAAAGTAGGTCACTGCCTTAGCTTACGTCTCAGATTTAGGCTTTCAACAGCGCTTTGATAAATTTTCAGTCTAGCGCAAAATACTCGAGTTAAAGGGCATGTGTAACTGTGCAACTGCGAATATCAATCAATCCAACAACCACGCGTAAAATTCGACTTACAAGCGAGCGAACACGATGATGATCCAAATTCACATGGCTTGCAATGCTTCCACATTCGTTTTGATTTCATGGCTAAGTCAAGTTTGGCATTTTTCTAGCCGAACCCCTAGAAAAAAGTTAGTTTCTTCTAGTCGGTTTGATTTGACGACTGTTACACCGAGGGAGCGATGACACATAGCAAACCAAAAGTTTGGTGCATTGGCCACGTGTAACTTCGACTTGAACTGCTTCCGTCGGAAATAATTCCTTTAATTGAGTCATCATAACAGAAAAAAAACGTGTACATATCTTTTGCATAGTGATGTGATTCGAGAAACCAAAATCTCAAGAGTTTTAAGCCTAGTTTCAGCCTGTTTATTGTACATTCATATAGTTTCTTGCTATTTTGTCTTACTTGAGCGGAAAATTCCGCAGTGAAATGATTTTAACAAGCTTATCGGTAGTCAGTCACTCTTCCTTAATGCTTAAACTTTTGAGAGTATCGCTTTCAAATTGCTCTCATGGTCTGTCTTGGCTATGTCTGTCCGAATGCTTTTTTCTTCCAATTAATGCATATGGAAATATTTTATCTGGATTAATACATCTTACCTCTATGAATACGCATACCGAGCTGTTTACCCCCAACAAATTTCTCTCATAAGTTTTTTTTCTGTAGAAGTAACACTGTCTCAACACATTTTTTAGTCTTTCTCTTTGTACTTTCCAAGGCAATGGTACCTCCTATATCTCATTTGCTCAAAGCGCTTAAGTTCTGACTCAGGTTTTGTAGGTAAGCGCCTAGCAGGCAGTTTATCAATCGGCACTAGTTCTCTTATTTTCATTTGTTAGATTCCTGTGTTTGCACTGCTTACGCGCTAGATACTGTCAATCAACTTCCTATCGTATGCTTACGTGGAATGTAGTCAGATTACATGGTTTGACAATGCTGATATCCTTACTCGCTCCTCATTCGTTGACAAATTGCATAGTACGCTGTGCTACCATCATTGTATTGTTCATTTTTCTAGTTCTCCATTTGTTCACCGGTTTCTTTTTATTGCGATAGTATAAAGGTGGTATGAGGACACATTAGCATCGATTTGCTGTGTATATCCGCACACTTTATTTGATTTTGGTATAAATCCGCTTTGATCTGTATAATATCCGGCTTATAAGTTAAGTCATTTCATCCATATTGCTGTCAGTTAAGAGTTCTTATGTGCAGCTGAATCGCTAAAAATCAATAACTTTTGTTAGTCGCAGCATCTTTGGAGTAAATGCCAGTTATTTCCTTGTATCGTTGAAAAATAATCATACTTTCGTAAAAAAAATGTTAAGTATGGTGTCCTGCGAGAACAGCTACTCAACAAATCCACGTTTGCTGCGAAACATCAAAAAGTACTTCGCTGTTTTGTTTAGACGCTTTCTCATCATAAACAATAGGTAAAGAGTGCTCTCTCCATGGAAAGTGAGTCCGAAAGGTTAACGTAGTACTCGAAAGGTTCATACTCCAACGAACTTATTTTTTCACTCCTCATATCTAGTTCCACAGCTAAATTGTTCTTTCTCGCGCGTTCTTCTCGTCAATTTTCTCTTTTTTTTTTCAGCACAAAGACGATGCGTTCATGCTTGATCTATCTGCATAAAAATTGCCTCCTTTACACAAATTTGCTAATGCTTTTAGGGAATGTGGGTAAGGACCGCCCTATTGGTGTCTTTTGTTGCGATATCCGTAGTAACAAGTGAAGCAGGCAGCAAGGAGAAATTGCAACAAGTTGTGGTTCCCCCAATTTCTGACGAAAAGCAGAAACAGGATGTTGCTACCGTGGCAAAGGAGCAACCACCTTTTAAAGCGTCACTTGTGAGCGAATTCTTTGAGTTTGTCAAGTCATCGTTGCACTTCGATTTTTCAGAAGGATCTCGACTTGTATGGAATAGAATTTTACCATGGATTTCTTGCTTCGCTCTCCGTCATTATCGTATCAGAGCTGGGTGATAAAACTTGGTTCATAGCAGTTATTATGGCTATGCGACATTCACGACTGACAGTATTTACCGGCGCTATGACCGCACTTGCGTTGATGACGGTGTTGTCAGGTATGTTCATTATTATGTTCACCATCATCTGTTACAGCGTCTTTCTTTATTTCGATTTTTTTGGTTTGAAAAGTTTCGATCATGCAAGAATATTTATCTGTCTATTCAGTAGGAGCTAGTCTTGGTTGTAAATTTGTCTATCGTTTTGCAAAACTTTATGAGTGTTGCGAAATTTATCGGTTATCTTTTATCGGGTCTTCCGTTATTTTACCTGATGATGAAATGGACATTCCATGAAAAAAAAAAAAGTTTTTTGTCGTTCGGAGATTAGATTTCATATTTGCGTCATTTCATTACGAAACATCGAAAACATTTGCTTTAGTTTGATTGAGCCTAAATACAGCTGTAGCTCGGGTGGAAACATTTGTTTTTTGAGTATCTGCTGAAATACACCATTGTTCCCAAAATTTTTCATTCTTGCAGACCGATAATCAGTACCCTAATTTCAAGCGTATAAGGTGCGGGGGATTTTTTTCCAAAATCGACCAGCTCAGACAAGCCAAGGGACTTTACAATCAGAGCACCCTATAACATGCTGCATATTGCTTGAGAGAATCGTGCGATGTAAGGATTTCTTTCCGGAATACAGTGAAGCGGCTGAGCGGCTCGCTTGAAAATTCGAAAAAGTGCGCCTTATACGCGTGAAATTAGGGTAATACCTTAGATTTTGTTTGCCAATAATGATTCATTTACAGCTTGTCTTGGATGGGTAACACAACTGATACCTCGTCAAGTGACATATTATGTCTCCACAGCGCTTTTCGCCTTGTTTGGACTCAAAATGCTTCACGAAGGCTACCATATGTCACCCAGTGAAGGACAGGCAAGTAATTATGTTCTGTGTTCTTAAATCAAAAAATTCTGTTTAAACATTTTCATTGTTATCTCCTGAATTTGCCACTCTCGCGAAAGCCATAGACGGGTCAATGAATATGTGGCATTCTATTTCTGTTTTAGTCTTGGGATCCACTTTTGCGTTTCGCAAATAATACTTTTGTTAGAGTGCGCTGGATGAATTTCTTTCTGAAAATGACTCATATGCTCAATATGAGTGGGAAAACTGATTGTTTTCAGCGTGAAACTTTTAGATGAAATGCGAGCTTAACCCTTTTCTATCATCTATCCTATACACCATTGCCAGCGAGTTCTCTTTTCATGCCGCGTATTTGAAAAACTCAAACAAAATTTCTTTTAGTCTATTCTCCTTGTAGCACAAAAGTCTCGAGCTTTTGAATTTGCTTTCAGGAGGAGTTTGAAGAGGCACAAGCCGAAGTTGCTAGACGAGTGGTAAATCTAGATGCAGCTAAATTTGTGGATATGGAAGCAGGAAGAGCCGGGCAAACTCAGTAAGCCTTTTTCGGGTTTAGTCTTGTTGATTTTTTTGAAATGGTATATTCTTGTAGGCAGTCATCCTCAGCGTGGCTTGTATTTTCGTTTGCTTCACGAATTTTTATCGAAGCCTTTACGATGACTTTTGTGGCCGAATGGGGCGATCGGTCACAGCTCACTACTATCATCCTTGCTGCTCGAGAAAATATAGGTAATAGCAATTCTTAACGAGTTTCAAGGCTTCCACGACTATTTTCGCTTTTCCCAAAATGCTTGCAAATTTTTACTGTCATGTACTTTGGAACTAATCAACTCTCACAAACCTTTTTTTAGCTGGAGTCATTAGTGGAGGTATTCTCGGTCATGCCATATGTACAGGAATAGCAGTTATTGGCGGTAAATTGGTTGCTCAAAGGATCTCAGTTAGAACAGGTATGGTTTGTTGTGCCAATTCTCATTTTTTCCATGATTTTCTTCATCGTCTCACGTTTTTTCAGTCACCATCGTTGGCGGTGTTGTATTTTTGATATTCGCTTTATCTACATTCTTCATCAAGGACGATGATAATACTCCGGTAGGAATTAAATTGACTCAATAATGGATATGTACCTGTAGCAGGTTTTTTTTTGGTGATATTCCTTCTTGTTGTATGCCCATTGTTCACGTTGTCATGTCGTTAGAAATTTTGCATATGCATAATTTGAGTGGTGTTTATTGGGAACTAATGTGTGGTCTCTAATCTTTCAGGCCTATCAAGGCTTATTAGAGCTCTCTCCTGTTCAAATTGCGCTGCAAGGGATTGAAATATTGTTGAAATTTGCTATTTCTACTTCGGCTAGAGTTTTTGAATCCGTTTCTCATTTTTTTAATTTGTAACGTCCCTTTTTGTATGCAACAGACGGATTGAAAGTACTTGCATATTGCTTTTTATCCCTTGTGCAGCGAAGGCACTAAAGGTCGCTGGTATGGACATCGTAAAGAAAGAAGGACTTACAAGCTGACTGTGTTCAGTCACTCTTCATTCAACTCTCATGTTCAAGACCAATATTCTTTCTTTATGGTTGTTCATGCGCACAATTTTCAGACGGCTAAGCTTTACATTTGTTACTGCTATACTTGCATTGATTCTTCATCTCGATGACCTTATTGCTCTTTTCTCTAGCGCCATACAGATTCGTAATTAATCATCAGCCCAGTTAAACTCTAGAGTAAAGGTGAAAGAATATGTGATATAGCGAATGTCAGTGCACGTCGTTTCTCTCAGTGAATTGAGTGGTGTTGTCGGGTACTAATTGTTACAAATGTATCATTATCACTATTGCGTGATCGAGATCTACTCTTGGCTTCTACTAATTGTCATTAGTTCAGTGCGAGATATGGATTTATGCGTTCCGTTAGTACCTTTTCACTGGTAGTTGGTTAATGACGGCGGCGATTTAACAGTATTCTGGAATTGGTCTTGTTATTTGTTTTTTAGGTGAATAGCATTTTCATTTCGAAAGTTTTTTTTCATTCAAATCGTAGGAAAATACAGCAATAACAATGTTTGGAGATTTACGAGGTGATTGTTGATTTTTTTTCTTGCTTACTTGCGTCTGAGTAAAGCATACTCTGATATTCACTAATGCTCGGACTAGTTGAATTATTGCTCTCGGTTTTGTGATTGCTGCAACGAATAAATTGTCCGATTATTTCTCATTTATATCCTATCAATCCAATAAGATCTGGTTCGAGGTAACGGTAAGTATGGTAAATAACCTCCAGTTTCGACATTCGATGAAACATGGCATGATTCGAGTATCTTACAAGTATATTGTATACCATTCTTGGCTCATCAACAGCTTGGATAGGTATGATTGTTGTCGAAAACTAGTTAACGCAAACAGTAACTCGGACGAGTGGCGGTGGCCAACCTCAAAAGTAGTGTTCGGGCAAGAAGTCGATTTTGAAATTTTGTGCTTACCCGGACCTATTCGCTTTGCTGAGTCCGAAAATCCACACTGGAGAGCGTGAAAATGGCATAGAATGGCATAAAGGGGTTCAACGCAGGAGGGAAAACAGCAGGTGGAGGTGCGGATAATATGTCACACGCTTGCACATGGCCGGTGGCGATGTAGAGCGGAGCGGAATCGAGAAGATCGCTCCGGAAGCTGGGAGTGTGAGCTTGAATTTTGGACGAGAGGCATGCCTTCGCTAAGAGTCCGCGAGCGGCGGAGCATAGACCGGCGGCGGCCATCTCTTTGTATGAATGGGCGATGTACCGTCTGACAATCGCCGTTGTCTCCCGCAGGACAAGACGAGGTGTAGTCACAGAATGCTTGCGCGTCCGAAATCGGTGTAGAGACAAAACCTGGACATCTGATTTTGTTTCGGGTCAAAAGTGGCGACAAAATGAGGCGTCCAGACCGACACATTCCGGACAGAATCCGAATAATGTCTTGATCGCGTACAGAGCCTGCGGCCTGCACTCTTATGAACGGATTTTTGCGTCCTCTATTTCTTCTCTCACGCCTCCCTCTTCACTTACCTTATGCCTTGATCTCTTTGGGTCTCGATTTTCACGCCTGTTATTTTTTTTTTGCTCGTAAAACCAAACATCATGAAGTTTATCAACATTGCCACATGATCTTCTTGAGCAGGCTTTACAATGGAATTGAAATGAAATGCACAGAAAGCAGAAAACAAGATTCAAGAGGAAGGAAGCTGAACTACCCCGCCCTAATTAATAGGACAAAACAGGTAGAAGAGACCTTTTCATAAGCACTCTTTTCCTTCAGAGGCTTAAAACTGCGATACAAGGTCACGAGATAAGTACAGCAAAAACCAAAATGAAGACAATATTATTAAGCTTCCTCAATCTCTCCAACTTCATTTTCAACGCATTCAGTCTTCTCAATCAGTAGTTATTTAATGATGCTGCTGCCTTCGATGCCTTCGATGACGACACGCTTTTCCTGAAAATCAAAAATTATCAATACCAGTGATCATCTAAAACAATGAATGACTTCTGACGGAATAAGCGCGATTCTTCCAGGGACAAAATGGTAATTGCGGATGTCTGCGTTGCAACAGTAAAGTTCAAAAGTATCGCTTCTTCCAACAGTGTGAACGAACACAGTGCTCTCCCTACTGCTATTCTTGCATGACCGCTTCAAAACGCTCATGCCTCCGGGAAGATGTTGAAAATTTTTTTGCGTCCTCTCCTGCTAATGACATCGTGGACGTGCTTATGAGCATGTTTTGGTCGCTGCCAAAATCACACTGTTATAACCACCTCAAATAAGCCAGCATGCGGGATGAGCATGAACTCAACATTGTCGGCGATGCAACAAAACCTGCACTTATCTAGGGTGCAGCAATAATGATAAGCCTTGCTTAAGTGTAACAGAAGAAAAGAGAGCGAAAAATGAGAGCTTCCTTGGAAGTTGGGTTAAAATGAAACTAACGATGAAGAATTTGCTGTGATAAAGCTCAGGATTTCGGCAGCAACACAGAAAAAACTCACTACCCTAAAATCCGTCATATAAGATCGGCTCGCAGTAAAGACCGCCTCGCCGATAAGACCGCAAAAGAGCTCTCAGTTAAGTCCGCTTTCGTGACAGCCTCGCGCGCCTCGCGCGCCGCCAAGTCCCGCGGATAAGTCCGCCTTATTTTTTTTACATGAAAACAAGAAGGATGCGCAATTGCGCTGCCTTTTTTGCTCTCAGAATGAACCGAAGCAACAGATCTTTATTCAGGTAGCATTCCATGTTCATCATAACAAACATTCATGGCAACAACTTGACCAAAAGAACGACCATCATTATCGTTATTATCAGCAACAATCAAAGCGTCGAAATCCTCGTTCATGCCTTCTATTATTGATTCGTCATCGAGAGCCTTGGTGAAACTGTTCGCAATGGTTTCTTCAGTGATTGCATTGAAACTCTCGTAGACTAGTGCAGCTACCTCTCCGTAGGTCATCCTTTTCCTGGCGCCGCCTGTTGTGTACCTTGCTCGTGCTGAATCGGCCATCCATCGCTCCCATCCCGCCCTCAGATTGTCTTTGAAGGGCTTATTGATGCCGACGTCGAGAGGCTGTAGATATTTGGTCATTCCGCCTGGGATGACCGCGATCTTTGAGTGCTCCTTGAAAAGCTCTCGGACGTCTTCTGTGAGATGGCACCTTAAAAAAGCAAGATAAGCTCAAGAAATGATAAAATACGAAACGATACCTTGCAGAATCTATTATGAGTAATGACTGCGAGGGATCGTTGACATAGCATTTCCGTTTGTTCCACACCTCATGGAGCCATGTCCTCATCAGTTCGTGATTCATCCAGCCTTTATCATTGGCTCTAACTACCACTTCAGGAGGGAAATTATCCTTGGGAATCCTCTTTTTCTTGAATATGATCATCGGTCTTAATTTCTCTCCAGCGGCCGTCACAGAGAGGACAACGGTAAAATTCGATTTTTCGTGTCCTGTTGAGTCAATCCTTACAGTATCGGCTCCCACTTGATCCACGGTCCTTGAATAAACCATATCGAAGGGCACTGGGACTTCATCGACATTCCCAAGATTGTGGGGGGAGATATGAAGCGATTCCCTTTGTACGAATCTCCTGAAGTCTGCGCAGATGTTTTCATAATCCTCCGGAAGTGCTTGGCCGACACTGGTTCTTCGCCTCAGAGATAAGTTCTTTCTCTTCATAAAGCCTTTGCACCACATTGCCGATGCCCTGAAGTCCTGGTGGCCAGATTCCCGCGCTAGCTGCAATGCCTTCTCGCGAATGTCTTTGACAAGCACTGCTCGGCTTCCTTCTCGCGTCTGCACAATCCATGCATAGAGAGCTTCCTCTATTTCCTCCACCTTTGGCTTCCCATGACGGTTGGCACGTTGCCTCAGTGGCCTATCCTCTAAATTTTCTTTATCGGCCTTCCATCTTCTAACCAGACCATCAGAGACTTCGTAGCGAACAGCGGCAGCCGATGTTCCATGTTGCAGGGCATATTCCACCACACCAAGCTTAAAAAGCGTGGTGTAGGACTTCCTTCTGGGAGTCATTGAGATCCGAGATACCTGAACAGCTTGAGTTACAGCGTGTGAGAGTATGTTGGAAATATAGGGCTCTGCGTGATTGCGAACTTCGCTGAGTTAGTGGTCATTGCACACTGGAATCACGCAGAGTCCTATAAATTTGCGCTGATCATCGAAAGGTTTACTCTTTTACACGAAAAGCAGGCGGCATCAAATTTGACTACACTATCTTTTGTCTTGGGTGTACAGGCTTAATGAAACAACAATTGAGAAAAAGAACAAAGAAGCCTAATGCTTTGCTAGGGTTGAGCGTTTTTAGACTGCAACTCTTCCGTTCATTAAAGCATTTGACAAAAGCCGTAGTGAAAAAACAAAGCATTACAAAAGCCGTGGGTCAACAGAGACTACGTTCACACCATGAAAACAATAGAGGAAGCAAAAAGTATAGGCAGTCAGGTTCAAGGGCTGTAGCCTGTACAGGTTCGAGAGATGTATTGAAAACATTGTCGCCTCCAAAACGATAAGATGAATGATAAGATGAGATGATTGCAATGATACAATGATGAAACCTATTATGATTCTTTTCATCGGCAGAAATCGCTGAATTTCGTACATGTGTCATATATAGGAAAAGAACTCACCTATCTAGCGTACGCGATGACGAAAACGCGGCTGTATTCTGAGCAAGTAGCTTTCACTGCTCTTCAAGTCCTCAGACGGTTCTTTTCAGGCGCTTTCACGGCTTGGTTTGAAGCACTAGAACATGTGATATCCAAAACAACTTCTCTGTAGCGTTTTGCAAAACTACGAACCGTTTGTGTCTTTGTACTTCGTCACTTACTGCTTGGAACAGAGTATGCGCGACGATCAGCGTTCTAAAAAAGCTTTGTAGGAGATGCATGTACTGTAGTTAGCCTATATCATAAACCTCCCCTGCCTAACATTCCTGAAAATGGGGTAAAATCCTACCTTACTATCGCGTCATCAATTGCAACACACAAGAAATGTTATATCTAAGAAAAGAACTCACCTATCCAGCGTATATGATGACAAATCCTCGGCGAAACTGTCAGCAACTAATCTGCACGGCTTGTCGAATACTTTGGCTCTTCCTTTCAGGCGATTTCGCGGCCTTGTTTAAATCTACACCGGCAAGCTACGCGGGCGGTCGCGCGCGTTTGTGCTCCTAGGTCGCGCTTGCTCATGCTCTCAGGACAGACGGACGTATCTGCGAGACGATTTAGGCGGACTTATCTGTGACACCCTTTGCGGCGTTTTTCCATCGATTTTCCTGCCAAAACTGCAGATAAGTCCGCTCTTATATGACGGATTTTAGGGTACTTTGGATTGTGCTCATTTAAACATGCGCCCAAGCTTCAGGACAAAATACACCAAAATCGACAGAACCAAAATGATAACTCCCGCCGGTGCACTGGATTTTGGTGCGACTACCCATTTTATGGGCTGATCTCCTGTGAGAGCTAAAGGCAGCGGCCCGGCAGAATTTCGATCCCCAGTTCTTCACCTTTTCGGAGCCCTCTCGCCATGATTAAATAATTTCTGGGCTTTTCATCGCATGAATGGCAAAAATGCGCTTTTTTCAAAGCCTTCTAAAGGCAGCAGGTAGGCACAATGAGACCCGTGGCAAAACAAGGTCACAGGGTAGGAGCC